TTTTTTTTTTCGAAAGTATTGACAATGCTTCAACACATCGGTTTCATGCTCACTGCATTTATTAATAAATTCTTTGCATGTTTGATTAATGAATAAAAAAAAAAATACTCTTCAGTGTGAAGTTCCAGTTTTGCCAGATTTGCTTCTGCTTCCTTGTTGAAATTTTCAAAAAAAGCTCCTTTTCAAATAAAAAAAAATCCGGGTAGGGCAAAATAAAATCTTTTAACGTAGCGCACCAAATTCATGAATTAGCAAATGCTATCTATTCAAAAATCAAGCCAGTAACGGTGAAAATGATACAGACCAGCGCGTCCTAGAATTATGCTGCTTCCTTCAACTGATTGCTCTCTGCTTAAGCTTCTCAACGAATCATCATTCGTTTCGCGTTTTGAACCAGTTTCCGAGCTAATCGAGAACGACTCGTCCGAAACCCACGACGGAGCACGCGAAGATGATGCCGATGAGCGCGAAACTTGCTGCGTTATATTGCGCTCTTCGCCTGTGGAAAACTGAATTTCCAAATCTATCTGTTACATCATAAGCATGGTCTAAGTTACGCACACAGACACACACGCACCATATACACCACATGCATCACACACACACACACGCAAGGAGGGGACAATACGAAAATTTTAAGACATGCTTCTGAAAGTATACTAAGAACGAGCGTTTAAAAAACGCAATTTTGTTGAATATCATCCCGAGGATCTTTTGACACATCGAACTTGTCTGTAATACTAAATTTTCAGATAAATTGGTTTGCTCCGCTTTATCGCTGGAATTCCACATTTCAATTAGGCGTGATGACATAAATTAGGACACACAAGTTTAAATTCTATTTTCGGGCCATCCTCCTAATCATTCTGCGAACTAAAAGCAAAAATTTTAATTTCGCAGCTCGTCTTATTCTGAAATTATAAAACTAGCCTAAATTTGGGCCGGCCAGTACAGCCTGAAGAGCGACAAAGCTTAAAAGCTGACTGTAGGTCGCTTGTGATATTTTATTCGATTAATAAGGCATTTAAGATTTTGAATTTTAAATCATTTCGTCTTGAAATTATAAAGCTAACGTGAGTCTGCGGCTTGAGATAAGAAATCAAAATCTGATAAATCTGAAATATTTTCAGAGTAAGAAATATTGGATGACGTATTTTACTCACAATTTTCTTACTCTGAAAAGAGTAAGAAAATAGTGAATAAAATACGTCATCCAGTTCCGCTCAACTCCAACAGCATGTGCCACTACCACCGAAGCGACTTTCCATGTTTATAAGTGAGGGGAGGTGGCTTCCCGTTCTTTCACTGGAAATTGCATTTACTCAGGGAGAAGAGCTTGGGCACTGCCTCCTGCTGCTGGTGGTGCTACTAGATACTTTTGACCACACGGGATTTCGAAATCATTCCTGAGAAAAATTCGTTTCTGAGATGAACACCTCAAAGATAAATCGAATTCTAGACACTGAGTTTAATGCCTTTTTCATTATCGGAAATTGGTTAAAACTCAGTGAGAGATGCAAGTTCATTTCAAGCCTGTGTCTCTATGCAAATCGGAAATTTCACTTCCAAAATTCAAGTCCTCTAGCTTATCACTTTTGAAACCGAATTATCCAGCACACACAGACAGACACAAACAGACACATACACTCATAAACGGCAACACACACCGATATACATACACGCAACACACACAGACACACACACACACACATAAACGTAAACACGCATGTATTCGTAATGTGCAGATGCAGCCTTAATTTAGATTCGCGCAAAGCGTACAAAAATAAAAAAAAGTTCAAAATCCAAACAAATGCAAAAACTTCATGCAGTTTCTCATGCGTATCTTCTTCTGTGATACTATGAAACTGAATTCACCTCCACGAATCGAATTTACATCAACACGAGATTGTGCGGAACTGGATCGAATTATGGCTGATGGCTCCACAAGAAGCAGCTGCCGCTCGGAAGTGCAATTCGACGAGTAGGATCGTCGTGGACGCGTAATGCCCTTCGCATTTTGGTTACCCATTGAGTTTTCTTTAAGGGCTCGAAATGTAGAAAGTATTGCGGTTTTCGGAAAATGGAAATTAAGATTGAAAA